GATTAACAAGAACACGCACTCAGTCATAGACTGTATATACATGGATGTAGACCGAGTGGCATCACCCATTGGTTTCTGAAGTATACATCTGAAGCCCATCAGTGGTAGTGATGTGAAAACCAGTTATTTTCAGTGTACTGAATCAGTAGAATCAGTTCAGTAAAGTGATTCGTTCAAATGATTCGTTCACCGAATCGTTCAGTACTTCTCTGCAGCTCTGTCTGTGAATCAGAATTTAATAAACTGAAACACGGCCGAACGTTTAGTTCTGCTCGCGATCGTACTGAGAACAGCCGGTGGTGAATAATAAACCAATGAGCTGAGAATTTAGTTGGATAAAGCCACAGTTTGCAAACTGAAAGCTGCTAAAACAATCACATTTATTTTCCCCGACCGTTCTGTTTAGTACGTTCAGTACACAAATCACTCACTGACTGTCTGACTGAGAGGGAGAGAGAGGAGGCGGAGCTCTCGTTTAGTTCGTTCACTGAACGAACTGAACGAGAGCTCCGACGTGAATCACTGAACGAACTGAGAGGAAGAGCGGAGCTCTCGTTCAGTTCGTTCACTGAACGTACTGAGAGGGAGAGAGAGACTCAGAGCTCCCGTTCAGAATCAGTACACACAATTAGTTCGTTTTGAACGAATCGTTCATGACCAACACAAAGAGTTTGAGCTAAGGTGGACCTTAAGCCGCCTGAAAAAACAACTACAACAGGTGTGTCTTTAAGTCTGTTCCACCATGCCTCTTATTATGAATTACTCTTATCCTTCATTAAATCAAAACAGATGAGTTATACAAAAAAATCCACCCAGGTACAGTGTGTGCCGATAAAGTATCGATACAGATACAGTATGTAGGGGACTTCAGGGTCTTTTGGAGCCGCCCTCAGGTGGACACTCAAGGAACTGCAGTTTCTTCCACTTCTGCATTGACTTCATTTATCAATATCCAGTTTGCCGCTTGCATCTGACCCATTTATTTCTTCTTTTTGAAGATTAACATCACCCCTGGTTCCAATGAAAAAGCTGATAAAGGGAATTTGAATTTTGGTTAAATGAAGATCCATTGCATACAAAACTTTGAGTCACATATTTATTTTCCTTTACAAAAAGAAAACACTTTCAGATTTTTCATCAATGGTTAAAAGCTAACATGCTATAGACTACTTACAACACTGTTGCATGCTGTTTTATATAACTACTAAGCATCCACCCTGTTCCTTTTCATTGTAGTGATGTTTGATGACGATCTCTGTAGACTCATTTACCCACTCTTTAGCTACTGCCTCTTACAAGACATGTAAAAACTTACAAATTAAAAAGGAATTTACAGACTGACATTATGTGTTGAATAAAGCCAAAAACATCTGAAGCTGTTATGAACTACTGACCATGTCATGTATACAAAAATGCAAACTCATTGGAGGGTTCTAGCACTCTATACATACACAGTATATCTGCATTACATTCACTCACATAGGTTTCTAAACACGTATGGCAAAATTAGTCAGCAGTGTTCCAGTAACTTACCAAACAATTACAAATGAACAGCAGTGATCGAACATTCAACAGGGTGCCTAAAAAAACACATGTAAGTACATATTGTGAGACACATGTTCGCTACAATTTAGCCCTGACAGATAGTCTATGTTTTAACAAAAAATGTCCACTGCAGATCACCGTATTAATTGTATTGCCTCATACTGAGGGAGAACATTGGCTTTTCATCTTTAGGTTTCTCCCTCAAAAAAAGAAGAGAAATACAGACCCAGTTATTACTCATCATATCAGTATTAGAAACAGCTTGGTTTTCATCGCATGTTTTAACTGTACAATGAATATAAATGTAACATCTTCAAGCAATTATTATTACACAAAAATGTTTAACCTGTCAAATAGGATATAAATCAATACATCTTCCTTTACAAAAGTCTTTCGTTGTGGTGATGCTGTATTTTTTTTTAGCTCTTAACTGTGATCCTACATCTATATTTACACAGTGTAGTCGGTAGACGGGGGGATTGTGGTGATATTCTACATGGGTCACCTTCTGAGGTCACTAAGCAGCGAAATCTGAGGGATGATGTGGGAGTTTTTCTTCTGCCAAAAACCAAAATGCTGCTCCGATTTTTCATACTCCTTCCTGTCTCAGAAATTATATTCTGACTTCATCAATATTTCAGCCAGAAACAAAAACCAGATTGATTCAAATCAGCGGCCTAACCCTCATACAGTATTACTTAACCATCATTTTAAAAGATCTGAAATAAAACATTTGCAAAACATTTGACCTCTTTCTAATAGAAAGGTCAGGTTCACCATACCCTGTAAAAAATATTGTCCATTTATTTATTCCTGACTGCTTCTATTCAAAACAGATTATTTTTTTATACATCACTAGATATTACTTTTTGCTATAAGATTTTTTTTTTTTACCTGAATTATTTGGAAAATGTCCTCATTGTCTCTCTATAAATGTGGACAGTTCAGTGCGCACAGAAGCATGTCATGTCTTTTATACACAGTTGTTTACTGGCTGATACATACAGCTCACCAATGTTGTCGTACTTCAGGTGGTTTTTACAGCTTTTATTCTCCAACAGCGATTAAAAGAGGGTGATAGAAGATATCTCCATATCCATCTCGTCTGAAAAAGGTTCTCAGATTTAGAGCAGCTTCTGAGAAATATTGGGGAAAAAAAGTGGATGATTCAGTGTGTTACATACTGTGTTTTCTCTTTCTTGTGCTTACACAATAAGTCTGTCTGTTGTTAGTCCAAGGCTTTTTACCCCTTGCTGATATAAGTCATTCTTTGTTCCTTTGCTGTCTGTAGCTGTAAGGTATCACACATTTTACCTTTTAAGACATTAAAACTATACAGGGATACATTTTTCTTCTCTAGTGCCTGGTTGTAGTAATTATTCTAGGAAATATCGAGCTGGAAAAAAACAATTTTCCTCAGCTGAGAAGCATAAAATGATAGTAGAGCACATTCCCACAGAGGGCATTAACAGCTGTTTAGTATGTTATATTAATGGGAAAGGTATCAGGGATTTCTTTAGATGTTTGATATTTTATCAGGCATCAAGCCACTGTTTTTTTTGCAAATGGGAGTGTTCCTGTTTGGAGCACTTGTACACAGAGACCGCCCTGCAGAAAATGGGTCTTGATATCCCTGAATTGTAGAATAATAATAAATGCTATCTAGGGGAGGGACAAACATTATAGCTGATTATGACATGTAAAAATCTATCTGCTGTTAATAATAATAATAATAATAACTTTATTTATATAGCACCTTTTAAAAACACAGGTTTACAAAGTGCTTTGACAAACAGCAAGAACAAAGCAAACTAAACACAGAAAAACATTAACAACAGTAAGAACATAACAGATGCAAAATACCAAAAATAATTAAAAACAATTCAACAGAAAAGAACCCAAAGTGCACGATACACAACCAGACATGTATAACCCGACCATCACAAGAACCATCATAAGAACCCAGGAACACAAGAACCCAACAACATGAGCTGAGACCAAGAGGACCAAAGATTTAAAAAGATGTAAGAAACTAAGAGATAAAAGCAAATAAAAAGCAATGAGAAGGTAAGCGCAGTAAAGGAAATAAAAACAAGTGGTTAAAGGATCAAAAAACCCAAAACTATAATATTAATAAAAATAAAAATTAACTATAAATACGAAACATAAATAGACAAAGTAAGTAAGATAAGAAATTACCAAGTTAAAACACAAGAGGAGATTAAGATATGAGCATAAATACGAGATAAGACCATAAATAAAAGACAGTAAGAAGTAGAAGAAGATAAAAATAGTAAAACCAGTAAGAGAAGACATTAAGAAAACGACATCACATAAAAGCAAGTCTGTAAAAGTATGTTTTAAGAAGGGATTTAAAGGCATGCTGAAAATGGGCATTCCTCTCTGCAGAAATCATCCTTTCAGCAAAGAGAAGACATTCACAAAAAAACACTCTCTCTCTCTCTCCCTCTCTCTCTCTCTCTCTCTCTCTCTCTCTCTCTCTCTCTCTCTCTCTCTCTCTTTTACACACACAAACACCCACACACAAACAGATCATCTCACCAGGACCCCTACTATCTCTGAATATCCATCATTTTATCCCCAGCACTTCATTCCACGACACAGTCTCACTGGAATGATACAGAATCGAGGGTCACGGCTCCTCTTACCCCCTGCTGATTTTGTGCTGACCCCTCTAATGGCCCATAGAGCACAAATTTAGCCTAACCATCAGATACAGACAATGTAGATATTGCTCTAAAGGCTCTCATATCGCTGCTGAGTTGATGGAGATGGAGATGGAGATGGTGTGTGTGTGTGTGTGTGTGTGTGTGTGTGTGTGTGTGTGTGTGTGTGTGTGTGTGTGTGTGGAAGGAAAATATTGTCTGTTATGTCATTATCTGGTATCAATCCTGTTAAACTCTCAGTATGGGTTGTGAGTGTCCTGCAGTGTGGATCTGTACACATTATCTTTATATCCTCACTTTTTTTATGTCAACTCGACATAAACTTTGAATCCTTAGTGACTGTTTGGCTATTGGCTAGCGTGTATAAGTTTATCCCCTATGCCTTGGTCACGTAGATACAGCAACAGCAGAGGAAGGTCAACTCACATGTTATAACAAGCTAAGAGGGAAAGCACCTGCCTGAAAAACGAGAGAAACACTGGAAGTGAGTTATGCATCTAGCCTTAATATCTGAATAGGTTGGAATTGTTTCCTTTGACTTCCACGCCAATATGTCTAATCAATACATGAACACTTGTTCAGTTTATCTTAACCAACCTTTGTAAGTCGTTTACTGCTGCTCATATGATAGATTGAAAGTAAAACAACAACGTTTGTGTTCGTTTTTCTTGTTTGTACACATGCATGTGCGTCGAGGTGCGCGCGCAATGGGTATATCTGTGTCCTTGCCTACGTCGTGCAGCTCATTACGTTTGATCCACGCGGGGCTCCTGAGCCTGCACTCGGCACTTGGCGAACGGACGCGCAGGGCACGAAGAGGACTTCGCTGCTGCTGCAACTGCTGCTGTTTGGGGTTTTTTTCAGGTTTCGGATCGTCACTCTCCTCTCTCAGTCACGGTGAAACAGTCCTGGATTTCTTCAGTGCTCAGTTTGGGATGCGCATCTGGACCGAAGAGTGGCCCGGGGACAATTACGCGTCGAGGCGCTGCGCTGTACCTCTCCCTGCTCCCCCTGCCCCCACACCGGAATAATCGCAACGTTTTAGGATAGTTTGTCTATTTTTGACGGAATGGCAGGCGCAAAGTGCCTTCTGAAAACACCAAGGTAAGAGGTTTACGCGTATTATCATGGGATATAAAAGAGACACAACATCGATGAGCATAGGCGCATATTACCAAACAAAAACAGAATGTCTCATTCCGTACATAAATCATATACGTGATTTTCAGAGTACTTCGTCATGGTATTGTTGCATATTTGTTGCAAGGAGCAACATTTTACACAAGGAGTTGCTGTTATTGGTGTGAAAACAGTTTATTTCGACACAAGCAGTCAAATCATTGGAGTTTAGTGTGCATGCATTTAATATTGTTTTGAATCGAAGCGTAGTGATTATTTTCACAGGATAAAGTGTGTCAATGTGTGTTTTAGCATTGTAAAAAAAGCGCACTAAAATCCACGCAGAGTGGTGCAGTAAAGCCGCTTTCACAGTCGACTGTCAGCGCTCGTGCAGTAAACAAGATGTCTCAGCTTGGCTGACAGACATGTGTGCCATTAAAAAGTGCTTTAAGCAGTCTCTTTGAAAAATGAAATGCTTTATTTTCCCACTTTAGTATATTTCTTAAAAATCTTCGTACAGTAATCTTTTTTTCCTCCGTGATAATTGACAAAACTAGAGCTTTCATCAAAGGTTTCTGCAGTCTTCAGGACTTAAACTTGCTTAATTGATAATTTTGCGCAGCTGAACGATTACTAAAGCAATGAATTCCGAAGGCTACCGCCTGAAGTTGCCTGATTGTTCACTATTCCACTTGCCTTCAAGTCTGGCGAAAGCCTCAACCACACAATCTACTACAGTGAATTACAACTGCAGACCGGGGGCCGTCCTTGAAAGCCAGACATTTCAGGGGTTAATTGTGCCCTCTCATCTGGGGGGATGCCTGCTGGATACCTGGCGCCCCGGAGCACGAGAGCGCACCAATCTGTCAATCATCGGTGTGTCGTGATGGAAAAACGCAAAGATTAAAAAAAGGAGGTCGTGCGTGACAAATCTATCCCGCTGGTCATTTTCAGATGTCTGAGAAAATTACTCAACATTTGCATGAAGACCATGAACGCACACGGTCCATGGAGCTTCTGTTTTACAGGGTTTTTTTTCACCTCATTTTTTACAGTGTCGTTCAATTCCAATTTTCTGCATGGATCCAACATATTCACTGCAGAATCGTGTGTGTGTGTGTGTGTGTGTGTGTGTGTGTGTGTGTGTGTGTGTGTGTGTGTTGAATGGATGTTTTGATGTGTGCCTGCAGACAGCAGCAGCCTATTTAAAGCACATCATATCCACTTATCTCCACTGCATCATTTTTTTTTGTACATCTAACTATTCACACTACAAACTGATTCTTCCTGTGACACCCATTATTAACATCGTGCACGTTCATTAACTGCAAATAGATCTCATGTGATCCCTCAGGGCTGTCAGATGAAATGCTTTTAATTTGCTTTGAAATATGTGGATTACTGGAAAATAAAAACAGCTGCTCCTATTTAAATATGCATCCCAAGCGCCTTTATTTTGTAAATTGATCCTCATTAATGCCATTCCAGATAAGCTTCGATTTGGCTTATCTCAGTGAAAGCATGCATACAGGATAATGACGCCTTCCTTGGATTTTTGAGTTTGTAGTGTTCTGTTTAGGCTCACTGTAGTCTGACCCACATTCCCATCACTTTAGATTGTTACCTTTTGGCTAGTGTGCAATTTGAGGGTCACATGTTGTTTATCCCTGTGTGTCCTGCTGCCAAAGTCAAATTTCATGATTTGAAAAATTAGCCATGAACCTTGGACATTTGATGCTAAAATGCATATACAGTAGAAGGCACATGTGTGATAATTTGTTGTACAGAGAGACTGGCCAAGGGGCATTTCCTAAAAACTTAATCTCATAATGGGCCAAAATAGCAGTTCAAGAGTTTAAACTTTACAGAAATCCCTAAAGAAACTTTGCTACATTGGTTCCTTGTGAATAATAACGTGATTAAAAGTTCTTGACATTAAATGACCAACAAAAATAACTCTTTGCATCCAATTAATGCTGAAGAGGTCGCTTTGGCTGCCCATGAACTGGTACATGCATTTTCTTAATTGCAAACTGTGGCATAAGAAGCCGCTCTGACCTTGCCATGCTTTCATGGTAATAACTCAACTCAGCTTATCCAAATGATTATGCTATCTGACAATGGCTGTCCAGTGCATTTTATTGGAATAGTGCCACAGCTGTATAGTTTGAACAAATGTGACAGGCGATATGGCTTCTCCAGTCAGCGCAGAGATAAAACATCCAAACTGATCCATGAGTTTTTTATAGATCAGGGAGATGTTGAGCCATTGACGAAAACTTGCTCTGACAAAGTCAACTCTGTGCCCTCTTTCCTTGTAGTAACTTCCAGTCGTCTGCCATGTTTGAAGGCTCGGAGTCTGTTGACTTGGAGGGAGGCAGCACAGAGAGCACCCTGGCCTCGTCCATCAGCGCCTGCAAGAAGGTAAAAACACAGAGGAGAAACCGTCTATCCGCCTGTATGTGTGTCTCCGGGTGTGTGTTTGTGTGTATTGTGCGACCTCTTGTCAACTGCCTCTTCTTTTCGTCTTTTTCTCTTTTTATGTGCACCTGTCCATCATATCTGTCTCCACCTGTCATCTGTTTGTGTGATTCCAGCAGGGCAGTGCAGTGATTTTCATTTCCTCCTCCGGGGTGCCTGTGACACCCAGGGGTGGTTTAATAAGAGGAACAGCCAGGCCCTCAGGTCAGCCCAGTAGATTTATCATCTCTCAGCATCGAAGAGACAGGAGGGGAATTCGTACAGCTCTGTGGGCTGAGGTGGAGCCTAGATTGAATTTCTTTTAAAAAAAATATGTGTTTGTGTTTCCCTTTCTGTGTATGTGTGTGTATCACCACACACAGGGTTTGCTTCTAACTAGCTTATTGCTTATATTCTTAACGGATTTCCCCGACACTTTCCTGTTAGGTGAAGTCTTTGTTATATATAGTGTCTGTGCTCTACTGACCTGTGCCTGCAGCCTTCGCTTGAATCAGCTGAGTCTATGTCACCTTTACCTGGCTGAAGGCCTTGCACAGATGGCCTTTTCCTCAGGGTGCAGGCATGAGGGGGCATAATGTGTCACTAAAAATACACAGTGAGAACTGACTCCCAGTATCTGTCTTATGTCAGAGGATTGAAGTACAATTCTGATAAAAGCATGAACATTCAATCATCATCACACCATGTTTTTGCCTGCTTCTTTAATTAATTAATGAATTAAAGTACAGTTTTTGAGATATGATATGAATACCTTTTGTTCAAACTTCAGGACTGTGATTGGTGCTGGAATCTGGAAGGGAATCTGTGATTTCTCACTTGTTAATTAATTGGCCTTCTAATTTAGTGCTTATTAAAACAGCAAAGTCAAAAGGTCATGACAAACGAGTGACATCAGTCAGTGGTACAAAGACAGCTCTATAACTGTAGGTCATTAAAGTGTCCCTTCAGGGGGTAGACAATAACTGATATACCGTGTACAGTCTCCTTAGCTAACGGATTATTGATCCGGTGTCACGGACACTTATCCTGAAATGAAGGTCCTTGGGAAAGGTCAACACAGAGGAAGGGGGATGAAAGTCAAGGGGTGACTAAGTCAGAGTCTGCGGGTGTCTGTCTTTTGTGATTTTTGGTGCTGCTGTACCTGAAGAAGGGTTTATCTGTGTTCTGCAGGTGCTGTGCAGCAACAGCGTGCTGGACTCGCCCGAGTATTGGCTGAGGAACGAGAAAGCTCTGTGCAGACTGGGCCTGCTGGACGACGACGCAGAGGGCAGCTGCACCATGGTGAGTAGCACGCTGTGGATGATGAAACACAAATAACCTGGACCAAGTCTTCAGGCTAAAGTTTTTGAAGCTGAAGGAAGCAAGTTTGTGGCCTTACATGACAGCGAGCTCACAGCTGAACTCTCTCTTTTTAGTCTGCCTCCTCTGTGTTGATTGTGGGCATGGAGATGGTGGAAAAAGTGTTTACATGGCAATTTTCTGGTGTTCACCTACTGCTTTGTAGTAAGCAGTTCTTGTTGTCAAGGTTTGATTTGTCAAATCTTTTGTTACTGTAAGATAACATATGGTGATTCAGGTAAATGCAATGAATGCATTACTCATGATTCAGTAAGATATTGTTCTTTTTTACCGTTGCCCTAAAAGACTTGCAGTGAAGTTTAAATTTCACTCTTTTATCATTCATTGTATCCTCTCGAGACATTATTTTAATGAGTTGGTATACTGGCTGAGAGCCAGGAATGAATGAATGAAAGGAAGGATTTGGCATGTATTTGGGGGGTACTTGAAAAATAGTTCAAATGTATTTATTTATCTCAAATTGACTTTTAGGGCATTGCAGCAGATTTTCTTTGAGTAGATATTTCAACAGTAACAATCGCAGCAAGATTGTTAAAAGCTCAAATTGCATTAGAGGAAAAGTATATATTTATGCGTTTTCATTTCTGCTCTATGACAAGCCCTCAGTAGTTGACTCTTTCTTTGGATTAACAGGACAACCCTCTTGCTCGACTAAAGTTTATCATTTGCAACAGGACATGTTCAGGCTGTCCTTGGATTCTGTTCAGTACACTTAGCAGAAAAGGAAATCTTGAAACGCCATGGCAAAAATGATGAATGTTATTTGGGTTGCTTAAAGAGACAGATTGTTTCAGATATTCTGATGAGACCACCACAGAGCTTTTGCCTATTGTCTTATTTCTGCATATTGTAATATAGTTACAGTGTAGTTTAAGTCACAGACTTGATGATGGCGGATTCTCACAATTTACGATAACTCCACTAATTTTCAGCATCTTTTAACATTTCTTTTTCACTGATGTTGTCATTGATTATGTCATTTGCATGGCCTATTGAATGTTTTAAGTCGTGGAAATCAATGACAACATGCTAATTGGATTATAAAAAACACAGTCAGGCATGGTGTTGGGACTAAAAAGAAGGGTAACACCATTCAAATACTGGAAACAGAATGTGTTTGGATTACTAGGGACATTGTTAGGGGTTTAAGCAAGCAAGGGTGTGAGATTGTAAAAAAAAACAAAAAAAAAACACATCTTCAGAGGAAGCAAACAGGAAAAAAAAGCTTTTAGCTGCAGAGGACGCACATTCTTAATCCCCTCTGTCACCCAATTCTGATGTGTCACCTTTGATCACTCATTCAGTTGAAATTGCAAGTTGAGCATGAATTGCATTCAGGATTTACGTCTGTCAGCGGCTCAAAGGCAGGCTTTTGTTGGGAGGGAAAACAGGTACCGTACTTGATTCTTAGAGTGCATTAAGTCCATTTTACCACCGGCATTGAGTTCTGTAAATAGCTTCAACACTGCATGAATATCCACAGCTGTATCTCTTACTTCCCTCTTTATACATTTGGACACTGAACTGCACAATACTTGAGCCATGACCTAGAAATGACCTGTACCTCACATCTGCGATATACCTTAAAATCTGGTGTATAAGACTCACTTTTACTGCAGGAAACTTGACGTGGTCGACGGACCAATCCGGCAGCACAACTTTTTAACAGCCTACTACCTCATTAGGTCATAATCATGCATTTTATGAAAGTGGTGGTATACTGTTAAATGAATAAAGCTTGTTGAGAGTTGGTTTGGTTGAAAAGACCCCTCTTTCAAAGACAACAAGTGAACAGTGCGGGTGGGAAGCGTAGATCTGTAAATTATTCATGGGCTGTTTGTAGGAACATGACATCAACGCTACCGTAGGCTCAGAGCCCAACCACTGTACCAGTAGCTAGGATTGTAAACTCCACATGACAAAAACAGATTGCATTATAAATGAGCTTCACAGCAGCACAACAACTGCATGCTGTGGACTTTACTTGACCCAATGGAAATCATCACATGTTACAGTGATTTGAATGGCAGTGAGGCCAGTCTTGCAGATATGGATAATCTCTTTGAGGAAACACAAGTGACATGTTAGCAATGCAGCTTTAAAGATAGCAATCACTCAAATTACTGGAATCTGAAGCATAAGGTTACGGTCCCCTTGGGATCAATTTAAGCAACCATCAATAAGTCAAATTTTAATTGAATTTGCCAAATAAAAACAAAATGTATCATCCTCTCACAAGCCTCAGCTGGTTGAGTTTGGTGATGATTTGAAGTTAGCATTCTACTGTGCTAAACTTGGATTGTGAACATGAGTAACATTGAACAGCTAAATATTCACAATAGCATTGAAGTGATTAGGATCAACTGATCATCACATTTAAATACATTTAGCTCAAATTGAATGAAAAGTTAACTCATGCCTTTGTATTGCCCCCCGGGGACAAATGCAGTTTTCTGAATTGAATTGATTATAATCCATGTATAAATCAGGTCTAGCCCATGGTGCAGTGATGGTGCCCTTGACAAAATAGTTTTGGAAGGTGGGGGCAGTTTGTACGAGGTGAGACACAAGCTCTGGCATCAACGTGGCTTAGTCTCAGCAAAGGACAATGATGTATCTATAAAAGTTGAAGGGCATGTCAGATGTGTGGAGAGAAGACGTAAAGCATGCTATGGGGGAGCTTGTTTCTATTGTTGTATGTTTCCTTGGTCATACTCTATGTTCCCCAACCAAATGTCCTCTTAATGTAGCAAGGAAACCTTTAACGGGGGTTTTATATTTTCCGCCATGTTTTGACCTGAAATCGAATGTGTAATCGTCATTCCAAAAAGGGGAAACCGGAAAAGAACAAGATAATTAAACCGTTGCTGTGATACTAGAAGACAATTTTCTCATGGCTGTCGCTCAACACTCGTAAAACTGTTACTTCTAATCTAGAATAATGTCTGATAAAAAGTTGAAAATGTCAATGGCGTTGTCAGCCCTTGGTCTTTTATTAGTGGAACAAGAATGGAAGAGGCGCTTCCGTATTTCTTCTCGTGCACTGGTTCTCCTGTTTCGCTTAGCTGAACAGCCAATCAGAGAGATTCGTACCCCAAACCGCGACGGCTCACGCCGATTCAACATGTGGAATTGGCCAAAAAAATCCAACTGGGGTCGACAGGTAGCAATGGAGCTGGACACACCGCAAAAACTAGGGGGGCATCTCTTACTGTCGTCTTATACAAAGTAAATATTACCACAGTAGGTGTTTTGAACTTTTTTTTTTTTTCCTCCATTTTTTTCTTCCTGAAAAATGTCTCAAGTGTTTGGTAATCATTGCCAAGGTAACAGGGATAACAGTAATTTAGCAAAGAGCATCGTTCTCACACACTCATGTCACACCTTGTAAGTGCGAGGAGACGTGTGCTGAATTGAATGTCCCTCAAAACCCCCAGACAGCAGCTGTGTTATGTAGGACAAGATGCACACAGGAATCAAACACATTGATGAGAGTTATATCAGAGGGATTTTATTTTCAGAATAATTATACATTTAATGCAGCATATCACGGATCGTTGAAGGTTAAACAGCCTGCACATTGGAACAACATGCCCTGTTGATCATCTGATAGAAGTCCAGGAAGATTTACTCATTGCAACACAAACACATTCATATTTTTTACTTGAAAATCTGATTAAAACGACTGCCAAGTAGAAAACAAAGACATCACCTGTTCCTTCCTTGTTTGTGCAGAACAATCCGTTTCTCCTCAAGCTCCTACCTGAATCTGTGATTATGCAAACAGTTCTATCCTCATTGTTCTCTTGTGAATAGAAAAAAAAAACATTTCATCCTCACTGTTTAGTTTAAATGAGACAATGGCTGTTTATTTTCTTCACTCTTGTCTGTTTTCTAAGACTCAGGAAGCACTTTTATGTGAGTGCAAACAGATGCAGCCAATCCGCTTACAGCGTCACTCTCTGCCTCTGAAGTGACAGATTACTCATCTGACTCTCGATTCTCTGTTTGGCTCTTCCACGCTTTCCCGTGGCCAATCAATCAAGCGAGCAGAAGCTTATGATTAATGACACTTGGTGGGAAATAAATTCTGAACTGGGAGATAGAAAGGAGGCAAGAGTGTTGAAAACAGAACAGGGGGAAAGATGTGTGAACAATGCATGCCGGTCGAAACAGACGGCGAACAATGTCCACCAAAATATCCACACGATCAATGGACCCTTTAATAGAGCAAAGTCAAACTCGAGGACAATGAAGACACATTTGATTTGTTTTGTTCTTGTTGGATTTGATTCACAAAAGCTAAAATAGTGAAGTATTTCATGAAGTTTAGGGGGGCAAACTCTGATTACACTGGAAACGAACTTTACTGAGATCTATGTATTACGAATCTATTAATGACATTTACAAAAATAGGTCTATTATGTTTGGTTTTCTAAGATGATTAAATTTATGAGTTTAAAAAATCTGAGTTTGGGAACAGGCTAAAATGAACTGTAAGAGCTAAATAAAAGATAAAAACATAACATTTGCTGTATCTGGCTCTGTCAAGCACCTCTGGCTGAATCGTGTTGGCACCTTTGATTACTCACCCATGTTTTAATGCATGAAGTCACACAGAAGTGTCATGCTGCCGTGATAGTCACACCGCATTTCTTGACAGCCCTCAAGATATTTTGACAGGGTGAGTATTTTGAAAAAGAAGGCAAAGCCAATGTTGTTGCGCATCTTATTTACATGTTGAATTTCCTGTTCCACTTATCAATGTGTTTATCAGAGCACATTACACTCTTGCATGAAATAAAAAAAATGTTCCTGAAAAGGTGAAGAGCAAAAGGCCAGAGTCTAGAAATAAACTCCATCCTAGCAGTTGCTGAATTTTTCAAATGTAGAATCCCCATGTTCATTATTCTTGCTATGTC